TGCCATGTGTACAAGTTCAACAATCAGGGCCACGGGGAAGCAGTCACTGCTTTCCTGGGGATTCCTATCACATTTATCCAGCGCTCTAGGTCGAGTGTTTCCTGTGACATTCATTACGGAGCATTTTCTAGAGCCTGAGTCCCTGTCCAGAGGGAACGAGAAGGCCCTAACGTCAGGATGCGGCCTCACAAAATCACAGGGACAGACACCCCAAACCGCACCCAGAGTAGTGTCTTTCTTCCTGTGGCTCCAGACCAGCCCGACACCACCGTTGGCCACTTGGCTGCACTTCAGGGTCCATCCCGGGCTTCCCAGCGGCACCTGGACTGCTGGGTCTGGACCCGCGGCGTCGGACATGGCTTCTGACGCGGAGAATCCGCACCATGGGCCTCCCCTTCCCTGCTCCCAGCTTCGAAGGGACATCGCTGTGCCCTGACCCTCAGCTCCTCCGTCTGCAGCTTAAGCTCCATTTCTCCATCAGTCCACCGCCCAGGGCCCCCCTTGCCTCCCGTCTTCGGAAGATGAGGGCTCGGCTCGCTGTTCTTCTCCCCGCTGCCCTGCCCAGCCTCTCCCTCTGCGAGAAGCCCCCTCACTTCCCCTTTTACAATCAGAGCAAGAGACCCTGTGCTGCGTAAACACCCAGGACTTTCTGCAGTTTAAATGTTAAGGATATGCAGATATCTGTCCCGCAGGAGGAAGCACAGATAACCACCCCCCTTGGGGGGAGGGTGCCATGTCACCTGTGTGTCTCCAAGATGTCCTGTTAGTGCCAAGTTCAGGTGCCGCCCCCTCTTGATGTTTCCCAGCCAGGCACGGCCTGGGGAACCCGACTCCTATTTGGATCATGCAGAAACCGTCGTCCCGCGAACGGGACAGGGTGGTGGCGTCAGAGAGAAGCGCCGGGGCCAAGGTCCCCAGGGCCGGTGCGGAGCCTGCTCAGCGGGTCACTCTGGGACCCGGATGGAGGTTCCTGGACTGTCTCCCGGCATAGAGGCAGACCGAGCAGGTGAAGGTGTAGGGCAGCAGGTGATGTGAATACTGTTTTAGTTACATAGGTTCCAAATTGCTTGTTGCTTTTCTCAAAGTCAAAGGTAATAGGGCCCACGGCCTTCATCACTGCTCGTGCTCTGCTGGCACCCCAGGGTCTGGACCCTCCCACACCACGACTCCAGGCCCCGTGGCCTTGAGGGTCCTCCCCTAGCTCTCCAGGTGACACGTGATCCTGTCCCCTCACTGGGGGCCTCCACCGGCCCCCACCCTGTCCCTCCCTGGTCCTCACCTGTCCCTCCACCGGCCTTCATGCTGTCCAGAAACCCTGCAGACGTTTCCCTGCGGTCTGGCTCTGTCACAGTCCCTCCGTCTGCCCTGAAGTGTCCCACAAGGACTCTGCACTGCCCCAGGCCGAGCCCCCATGTCCCTCCAGGCTAAAAACCTGGGCTTCCCTAGTGTCCTTCTCTGCCCCACTCTGCCCATCCTGATCTAACACCCTGTAGCCGGTCATAGAAAGTTCTCTCTGTGCAAGCAACGGATCTGCACAGCCCCAGGAATGACTCTGGAACTTAGACCACCTGCCCCAGAAACCTCAGGAAAAGGGAACAAGGACTTTGCCTCCGGACAAAGTGTGCTAGGCAATAACTCCCTACTCTGAGACTGGTAAATTCGGGAGAGACTTGGGCATTAAATGGCTGAGCCTGGCCAGGGCACACGCCCCCGAATGTAGATGCTAGTGTCAGGCGAGGGAAGGGAGCCCCTGCTCAATCCATCTCGTCACGTGGCTGAGCCTCAGTCCTCTCTGGGGACACGCACACTCCGTGGCACGGCTGCAGCTGCATAAGGGGAAGATGCCCGGAAGTGAGGGCACCGACCCAGGGAGCTTGTCTGCAAGTCATGGGGAGCGGCCTGGCCCAGGGGCGGGACCAGGCAGACAGGAGGAGCCCCATGGGGAGGAGGGGCCTCCGTGTCAGGGAAAACTCCTGACCAGGGACTGGGCCTGTGCTGATCCAGCCATGACCGCCCTACTGAGACCCCAACGCTGCCCACCCAGCTCGGCTTCCCTGCTCCTGGCGGCGCAAGGCCGATGGAGTATTTGCCGACTGGGGGATTCATGGACCCAGATGGAGCCTCTCTGTTCTGCACTGGCGAAGGCGTGTGTCAGAGAACAACCATCTCAGGCGTATCCTAAGCCCTGGTCACTTCACTGTCACACAGCACGGTGGGTCCCTATTCCTGTCCCTGTGTTCCAGGCAGGAGTCTCGCGGACAGTCTTGTTCCCTCTGCCGCACAAGATGACTCTAAGGCAACCCTGAGCACAGCCATGTTTATGGGGCGTCCCCAGAGCCGCCCCTCAGGGTGGGACCGGGTTCTTGTCCATGAGAGGACGCGCTGGCTCCCAGGCTGTGGGTTGTCCACCACCCAACCCCGGATGAGCCCTGCTGTGTGAGGTGGTGCCGTCTGGAGCAGGCGGCCGTGGGGACCCAGGGCCCAGAGGGGAGCGGGGCACAGGAGAGGGGAGCCAGGCCCCTCAGCAGCGCTGTCTCCTGCCATTTGGCCCCAACTTGCATCCCCTCCAGGCCAGCACTGTGGCGGGCAGCCCCCTCTCCCAGCCCGGCCCCTGGGCTCCCCTCCCTGTCTTCCCCAGCGGCCCCCACGCCCCGCACGCCCCTCACCCTCCTTTTCTTCCATCTCTGTGTCACTGTGCTCGGCCGGGTCTTCCCCTTTGGGGTGCCGGCCCTCCCTGACTGGGTCCCCCCGCCCCCACAGCCATGGCCATCGGTCCCTTACTCTCGGTCCCTGCAGGGTCTCACCCTAAAGGACTCCTTCCTCAGCCCCTTAGGTCACTGTGAGAGGGAGGCTGGGACAGCCTTTGGGCCCTGACAGGTGGGCAGACGCCTGTGAGGAGGGACCGGGGACCCTTGCTGTCCCTCTGGAAGGCCTCGTGCAGGCCCTCCTGCCCCCGGGGGTGCCCTCAGGGGGGTCTGCATTCCACAGGATCAGCGGGAGGCCCATGGGGAGCCTGGGCAGGGGGTCCCTCCTGGGGGCCAGTCCAGCCCCTTGTCTGTGCCCCGTGTGCCCCGCGGCAGGAAGGGGCAGAGCTCTGCTTCTGGGCATGGAGGCCCCTCCCTCTGGCCTCCTCCCCAGGCCAGGGCAGTCAGGAGGGGTGAGGACTGGAGAGCCTCACGCCCCCACCCGACCTCAGAGGTGCGGTTCCTCCCCAGAAACTCATTCTTTCTGTTCTCTTGCAGAGCGTGGCCTCCATTCCAACCAGTGCTGCTAACAGGATGGCTTGTAGGGGGAGCTTTTCATTTCTAGATCCCGCCCCCCAAGGTTCGCCAGTCTGTATCCCCAACAGAGGGATTTGTGTGACCTGGTCCCCCTGAAGGGTCACCAAGAAGAAGAGGCGATGGCAGGTTTGCGAAGGTTTGCAAGTTCTTTTCTGTTTTTTGTTTTCCTTTTCTATAGCACTTGGAACTTCATGACACATTCACAGAGAAAAACATTGGTAGAAGATCCTTAACATTTCATTTTATCGTTTTGCATTTAAAATCGATTAAAGTAGTTACTTCCCTAAACTCTGGAAACGCTTCTGACCGCATTGAGGGCAATCTTTATGATGTACATTTGGAACAGAAGATAGATTTTCAATGACCAGTAAATCTACTCCGTTTTTATTTTTTTTTAAGACTATTTGTTGTGGGCCCATTGCCTCTCGCTGGCTTCTTGACATCCATCCACAGAGGGCGGTGAAGGCCAAGTGTACATTTCTCGGGAGGAAGTGATGTATTCTGCTGTCCGACAGAGGTCTCCTGCGATCTTAGCGAGACTGCCTTCCATCCTCAGGCTTCTGCTCCAGGACAAGAGGCGGGAGGTGAAGGGTGCGGTCAGGGACACAGGGGGACGCGGGGCACCCAGCAGTGGACTGGCAGCCGCAAAGATGGGAGGGAGGGGGACACAGGGAGGTGGGGAGCAGAGGCAGGAGGCTGGCACCCTGGGAAGGGGCAGGTAACCCCGGGGAGGACGAGGGGGACAGGGAATGGCCGGGGCGAGCAGGGCATGGAGGAGGGCGGGAGAGGCAGCGCCGAGGGAGGCCCCTCACCTCGAGGATGTTCTTCAGCCTCTCAGACAGCAACCGACTCTGGGAGACCAGCGTGTCCCAGGGCTCGAACGGTTTTCCCTGGTTGTCCACGAAGGTTTCCCAGCAGTGCTCAAAGTCTGCAGGGGCGGGGCGGGAGGGGAGCCGGGCCACAGGGGCCACAGGTTGCGTGACTCTCAGGCACAGGCTTTGCCCCTCGAATCGGCGCCACTGCCCTCTGTCCCCCAGGGACCCCTTCACCCCCGGGACCGTCTCTTCAGCCCGGGGCGCCAGCCCGCCCGATTCCCCTTCCCTCCAGACACACACGTCTCTCGCAGGCCCGCTATCTCCCCCACTTCCGGACACTTCTCCGGGCCCAAACTCTCTCCTCCAGTGTACTCTGCTGTCCCCTGCTGTCCCAGGTCAGCCTTCCCTGTGCGGCCACCAGAGGCTTCCACCAGGAACACCTCTCTTGTCCACTCCTCCGTAGCAAGAACCCCCAGGCCTCTCCCTGCCCACCGCCCACCCCGGGAGGTCACACTGACCCGTGGAGGTCATGATGGCGATGTGGGCCCCGTGACGCTGCAGGGTGCGCAACCCGTCTTCATATCCTTTCTGGACGCGCAACCAGTCCTCGTATCTTTCCTTGGTATAGAGGCGGGAGGCGAAGAGCCTCAGGGTCACGTGTTTGTTCTTGACCAGGAACTGGGCCAATTGATCGGCACAGGTAGCACAGGGGCTCCAGGACAGAAAGCAGGTGACCTTGTAGGGCAGCTCGGAGCCCAGCTCCCAGGACTGGATCAGCTCGAGGAGACACATCTCCGAGTGGCACCCTCGCTGCTGCTCTCCCTGGGCAGGCTAGGTACAGTAGAGGCAGGAAAGGCTGTGTCATTGCCTGGGAATGCAGGGGAGCGTGGGACCAGCGGGAGGTGGGGCAGGTCTGGGCCTCCAGCACAGAATTGGAGGAGGGCCCCCCTCAGCGTGCAGAGCGATGGGATTCAGGTGGCATCCATGGCCCGAGCGCCACCAGCCCTCCCGGACCAGCACAGGACACGGTGCTTTGCCAGGGCCTGGACCAGGGGTGGGGAAGGCTTGGCATTCGGCCTCACTCACTGTGGACTGTGCCTCCCTGACCTGATGGGTTTTCACTGAAATTGTTGTGATTTCAAGCATCATGGGATTTGCATGAAGTTTGGCTCTAAACCGTTGCCTTAAAATGGGATTCAACTTGACCAATGGGTTCGTGGAGCCCCAGCTAATTTGTGCCCAAAGGAGGGGGCTCAGGAAGCTCACCTAGTGGGGAGGGAGGAGGCCAGGTGGGCTCCCAGGTCGCGGACCTGATGCCATGGAAGTGGGTGCTTCCTCCCGGGAGGGATGCTCCCCTGAGCCCCACTGCCCTCTGTGGGCCGGGACTCCCATAAGCCTCTGCTCTGGCCCTTGCCCTGCGCTGAGCACCAGGGACTAACAAAATGCTCCCTGTGCAGGGGTGATGGAGGAGGGGCACAAAGAGAGAACCTCCTGAGTCATGGGATGAATGACATTGTGGGTCCCAGGGCCCTGGAGATTGGTCCAAGCTGTTGAGAGAAGGAGTCAACCGGGAACTGGGAGCGACTCAGGTCAGTTGTGCAAGCCCAGATTCTGGGCGGGGTGTGGTCGGCACCCCGACACTGACAGGGCCTCCCAGGGCCATACTGTATGGGGAGCGGTGCCCTTGACAGCATCTGCCAGCGGAGCTCGGGGTCCTGCCCGGGCCCCTCGTAGTGACCAGGGGGAGCACTGAGAGCCTCCAGGGCTCAGGCGGTCCATGGGTGGCCGTCCCCAGCAGGGGCCTGGGGAAAAGTTGACCCCTTGTCCAGAAGCCTTTTCCTCTGTCCTCATCCTTCTTCAGGGACACAGCAGGAGGGGGGTGGCTGAGCCCTGGGCTTAGGGTGACAGGGTTGATGGTGCCAGACCCTGGGCACTGTGCCTACTTTCCCAGGGGTGGCCCCAAGCCAGCGACCGCAGCAGAAACGGTCCCCACCTGACTCCAGACCAAGGAGTGGCAGCTGCGGGGACCCAGGGGACAGCTCTGTGGGCCCCCTGTGTCCCCTGGAAGCACCTCCCCGGAACGTTCTGGGTTTGGAAGGCCCTACGTGCTCGGTCTGCCTGGGTCCCTCACCTCATTGTGCAGGATGCCCTTGAGTTGGCCAGGAGGGACCCCGGAGGCACCCTCGGGGAGCTCGACCTCGTAGCAGAGGTACGTCTTCTTTTCCCAGTTTTTCTGGTCGAAATTCTGCAAGAAGGTGTCCTTGTCCAGCAGGCAGCTGCGAACAAAGGGGTGAGGAAGAAGCTCAAAGACACGGGCTCCCCCTGAGTAAGGAGTGTCCTCTTGCTGATGTATGTGTGGAACAGAAGACAGAGTTTACGGAAATAAAGATGCTTAGATCTTTAGGAACCTAAACTATTTCTTATGCGCTCATTGACATTTGCCGATTTCTTTGGATCCTCCACCCCATTCTCCCCCGCGGCCCTGCTCCCCATGTACTGGCCAGACCCATAGAGGACAGGCTTCTGCTCGCTTTGCTGGGGCCTCCCAGCCCCCCTCTGGGGCCCCTGAGGGGCTTTTGCAAGGCCAGCCGGGTCCACTGTCAGGGGCTCACTAGGAGCAGCACAGGACACGCGACCCTCCAACGGGGCCTCTGTGTCCGCCCGGGGTTGGCTCCGACCACATCCCCTGGCCTCACAGTCCCATCCCTGTCCCCGCTGACCCACTCCCCTGGGCCTTTCCCTCCAGGCTTCAAGGTTAACCCGTGCCTCACGGTGCCCCAGGGCCCGGCACATGCCTGTGCAGAGAAGATACCAGAGGCTATTCTTTTTAAACAATCATGGGAATTTCTGTGATATGAAATTATTGCGTGCCCTTTACAACCCCGAGATGGGAAAGCGTCTCGATCGAAAGAGACCTCCTGGCCCCGGGCTCAGAAGGGATCCCCAAGCAGAGAGGATGGATTCCCTAGGCGAGCAGGAGAGGGGACGAACAGCGGCATCGGGTGGAGTCCCGGGAGCCTGGAGAGGCTGGCGGGGCAAGCAGACTGGGCATCCGCCGAGCGGGCACAGCGGGCCCGGGACGGGGCAGCAGGAGGAGGCAGAGAGGAGGGGCCCCGGAGGCCGGGAGGAGACTGGAGGGAGTGGTGGGTCCCCGTCAGCCCTGAGCAGGGGCTCCGGAACAGGTGCGATGCAGGGGGCAGCGGTTACCTGTCCCAGGCCGGGGGGCCAGCATCCATGTCCGTCCCTTCACGGTCTCCGGCTCTGTGTCCCATAGCGTCCATGTGGGTCCCTTCACGGTCTCTGGTTCTGTGTCCGCTACTTCTCTGCCCGGTCACGGTCTGTGCCCTCCCCTCAGGGTGCTCTGGATGGGCCTGGGAGCCTTATATGTCATCAGAGCTCCTGGGAGCTGCTGAGTTGGCATCGCTGGGCCCCACCCCTTCCCAGACTCAGGCCATGCATGCCACCCTCCCGGGCGTCAACCTAGGAGGAGCTTCTCTGCCCACTGCCACATCCCTAGGTCCTCAGGGTCAAGTTTTGGTTTCCCCGTTCTGACAACACCCCTTTCTACCTGGAAGCCTCAAGGAGGACCAAGGGAAAGGAGGTCGGGGATGGTGTGGTCTCTCTGGGCAGCAGGGACCCGCGGGGCAGGTGGCGAGAGGACAGGTGTCTGTACCTTGACTTAGGACATGGAGGCCCAAGGGCAGGCTTCGGATCCCTGAGTCCCCTCCAGTCACCCCGGGTGGGCGTGGCCTGGCCCAGGCTCCCTAGACCCGCTGGTTGAGACACCTGCACAGCCTGCACATGACAGGTGCCAAGAAGGGCGGGAGCATCTGGTCTAATTCGCCACAGCCTGGCCTTCAGCCCTGGCCCTGGGAACGGAGGAGGACAAAGGAGCCCAGCTGTCCTTAGCAGCCCCCTCCCCAGTGAATGACTGCCACCTGGGCATGGAGCATGTCACCCTGTTACCCGCAGGAGGAAAGAAAGTCTCCCAGAGGAGAAGGGCTTGGCCAGGACGCCACGGGGAGCAGACAGATGCAGGGACACAGGGATGCAGGCCTCCCGCAGGGCGGCCACTGTGCTCTTACCGTCCACCTCCAGGCCCCAAGGAAGGAGCACGATTTGTATCCCAGCCCCGAACAGAAACCTGAGCCCCAGCTGGCTGGCTGTCTCTGCGGAGCTGCCCCTCTGTCCCACGGACTCCCCCATCTGGCTTCCCTTAGGCCCCCCTGGTCTGGCCCCATGGTCCTTCCTACCCCGCCCTCCCCCCACCCTCGGAGGTAGTGTCTGTGTCAGGTAACACTGGGCAGCCTGCTCTGAGTCACACCTCGGCCACCTGCACCGAGAGCCAGTCTGCTCACCCTCCCAGGCTATCTGGTCATGTCCTGAATGTGAAACCCAGCGTCCCTCCTTCTCAGGTGGGCACCCCTGGTCCTGTATAGATGGAGGGTGTCCCCCTACCCCGGACCTGTGCCTTGGCCCCTCCCATCTCCCCCATCCTTGGATCCTGGCCCTCTAGCGGTGACACTGTTCCCTTGGGGGCCCAGCTAGTCTCAGGATAGGGCTTATGTGGGGCGTCCTGATTGGCGCCCACTCTTGCCAGGTCACAGCCTTCACACACAGCAGAATACACACACCCAGGTGAGTAGTTTTCTGGGTTATATCATGCCACCCTTTTCCAGCACCCCGGAGTCCCTGTGTCCGTAGCTGCTGTCAGAGTCTAGAAATCAAAACTAAAGAATCTGTGTCATGATCAGATGTTTCCTGTAAACAGGCTCCGAAAACTGTCAGCATTCTGTGTTCGCTCGAGCCCAGATAGGCAGCTGGGAGTGTCCTATACTCCTGGGGTCCTTCCTCTTTCTTATGTTTGTGCTTGAAGGAGTATCTGTGTGTGTGCGCGTTGGGTCATGAGGTGACTGGGTTCACTTTATGCAGAGAGTTGTCACAGAGGCCAGGTTTTTGTCATCTATTTGTGTCCGGGGGTTCCCGGGGTGTCCGGGCATAGTGCCACCTCCAGGAGTCAGCCTCCTGGCTGAGACAGAGGCAAGGTGACCAGCCTCACCTCAGCCCGGGAGGAGAAGTAAGCTGGTATGAGTCACACGCTGGCGTCTCTCTTCCCCACGGGGCACTATCCTTGGTCAGAAACTTTCTGTTTCAGCCCAGGGCTCCCAGGGCTTATTCCCGGCCTGCTTCTGGGCTGGGTCGAGCCCCGACTTCGCTGTGCCCTGGTGAGGTGACCCTCAGCACAGAAAACCAGGGGATGATTGACTCGTATTATTGATATTACTGCTTTCCCACTGTGGACCTGCTGCAGAGAGATGCAGATAGGCAGGCAAGGAAAAGCTGTGGATGCTTCGAGCATCTCCGGTGTCCCCTGCCGCCATGACACAAAACCTTGCAGGGCCCTTCCACACCCACCTCTGGGTTCTCTGAGGAAAGCATCTGGAGGCTGTTTCCGTTCCTCAGGCTCTGACAACCTGATGTTAATCCAGAAAGCCAGGGGTGTCACCGGTTCTGGGCCGTGAAGCCCAGATGGTGATGGTCCCTTCTGTTCCCTGATGGTCCCTTCTCCTGGGGATGGAGACCAAGGCCTCGGGTCCGTGAACTCCTGGGTCTGTTCCTGGATCCATCTGACCTCCCTTTCCTGTGCCCACGGTCGTACTCAGTGTGCGCGCTCCTGGGCTCTCAGATGGGGAGGAGAATCACCTAAATGTAAAAAATGAAGCATCTGGATATTCACTCTGTGTGGTGCAAGAGTTCCCTCACGGGCTCCCTGTTCCCTATGGCACAGAAATTTCCATTTTATAAAAGTCAGGGATGCTGTCGGAATTTGGGGCCCCTGCCTCCCCTGGCTCAGCCCTTTGTGTTTGTTTTCCGTTATTCCCTTCTCGTCTCTGAGCCCTCCAGCTTGCCTGCCTCTTCCTGTGGGGGTCTCCCAGCCAGGCCCCTTACCCTCCTCTCTCTCCAGGCCCTTCTTTCTGGCCCTGGTCCTGCTCAGGACACACCCCACACCTCTCTGGTGATATTCCTTTCTTGCAACCCCATCCAGAAGCCTCTCCCCAGGCTCCCAGGCCGATCATCCCTCCTGTAGCCCCAGGGTCTGAGCAGCAGCTTTAGTCTTTCTCCAGAAGTGTCTCTGGGGGTGCTTCACAGTCAGAAGCCTTGCGTGGGGCTCTGTGCTGATGGCTCAGAGCCTGGAGCCCGCTTCAGATTCTGTGTGTGTCTCTCTCTCTTCCTCTCCTCCCCCACACTCTGTCTCTTTCTCTCTCTCAAAAAGAAATAAACATTTAAAAATTTTTTTAATTTTTAAAAATTTTATTTATTTTTTAAATGTTTTTAAAAATTTATTTCTGAGAGAGAGAGAGAGAGAGAGAGAGAGAGTAGGGGAGGGTCAGAGAGAGAGGGAGACACAGAATCCGAAGCAGGCTCCAGGCTCTGAGCTAGCTGTCAGCACAGAGCCCGACGCGGGGCTCGAACCCACGAACCATCAGATCATGACCTGAGCTGAAGCTGGACACTTAACCGACTGAGCCACCCAGGCGCCCCTAAAAATAGTTTTTTAAAAGAATATAAATTGTGTTTTAGTCTGGAAAGAAAAATAAATCCCTCAATTACCAGCTAATCCACCCGTGTTCCGAATGCTCTGGCTCATTCCATGTGCAGCCCAGCGTGAGGGAGGTGGGGCTGGCAGCGGCCTCAGCAGAGGGGTCACCACCGAGATTCAGGACAGGCGGGTTCCTGAGGAAGGAGCAGGGCGAAGGATGGTGTAGGGCTGTGCACAGAGAGAGGGGCAGGGGAGAGCAGCGGCCAGCAAGAGACGGAGCCGCTGCTACGGAGGAGTGGACCAGGTGCTTGCACCACTGATCCGACTGCAGTGCAGGGGCCGCAGAGGGGTCGGGGGTGGCTGCAAGGCTGTGCCTGTCCCCAGGGACTCTGGCACTGTTGCCTTGCTCTGTGACCAGTGGTTTATGCCTGATTACAGCTGGTGGATTCACCTGAGGGTGTCCCGTGAGAACTCAGGCATCCGTACATTACAAATATGGGGCCTGGCACACAGCTGTGCCTGACCCACAACACACACACACACACACACACACACACACACGAAGTGACGTAACAAAAAGAAACTTCTTCGGTATCCTCAGCAGACACACCCAGAAGCACTGTCACCATGACAGGAAATGATTATTCAGAGAAACTCATCATCAAATAAATCCTTTGGTTTTGATTTCCAGACTCTGCGGCCCCACCTCTATCGCTGGAGCAAGTCACTAAAAAGTCCACAATGCAGTCACTCTGGGCACAGGGGGCAATCAGGGTCCCCACAGTCAGTGTCGTCAGAGGGCTGGGAAGACCTGCCCCCCATCTTCCCAGACCTCATCTCCCCAGGACCCCGTCTCCCTAGGACCCCGTCTCTCAGAGCTTTGGCCAAGACACAGGGACCCAAGGCACTGGAAAGGGGACACGATACAACCTGGGAACACTATTCAACCCTGGGTGGGGCACCTCCAGCCTGACCGCCCACCAGGCTCTAGGGAGAGGGGGCCACCTTCAGGGGAGGCAGAGCTGGGACCCTGGCCTGGACTCCAGACACTAACTGGACCTTCCATCCCTGAGTCCCAGAGAACTCAGGTTGGGGGGACCCTGCACCCTCCCTGGGCTCCACTGACCCCAGTCTGTCTCTCTGACCCCTGTCTGGGCTCCCCCATTCCCCGGGGAAGCCCGCCCTGTTCCCAGTTTTCCTGACAGAGGAGGACACTAGTCCTGGCCTGGCCTGTACATCCGGGGACCACACATCCACTCTCATGGGGGACCCAGATCCTTCCTTCCCTTCTTGGACCTTCGCACACTTTGGTGGAGATCTCAGGCTGGATGTAGGGATCTTTTCACATTTTCACTCAGTTTTCCAGAGACAGACCTGGGGGAGGGGTGCTGTCATTCCCCCAGTGGGGACAGGACTGCCCTCCTCTGACTTCTTGCCTCAGGGACTGAGGTAAGCTGCGAGCTTTTAGGTCCTCACCACAGTCAGCGGTGTCGAGCACAGACTCCTGGGCCCAGAGTTCATCACTAGTCTCTACCGTGCCCTTCATCGAAGCATGTCCCTCCCCTGAGCTTAGGGAGATGGGGACAGGGAGGACTAGCCCCTGGGCCTCTGTCGCCTCCAGAGAGGACATGCAGAAGGACGCTGGGGCGGGAGTCCTTTGGGAAAGGGCAAGGGGCAGGAGAACAGAGGTGAAGCACACCTGATCTCAGGTGGGATTTCCCCACGCTCCAGCCCCGTGTTGCGTTGACTCAGACACGTGGCTCAGGATGTACACCTTTGGGAGAAGAGCAAAAGCCT